AAAGTGAATCTATTTGTTCTACAGTAAAACCCGTTTAAGTGCATCAAGTAAAATGTCAGCTTTTTGAGGTATTTAGACGGGTTGGGTAATTAAAAAAAACCGCTTAAGTACCTCGATGCGGGTATTTAAGTGAATGTAATTATTGATGTAGTTACATCTTTTTTTTAACGTACATAAATATGTAAATCCTTGAATAAAACATGAACACTTAATAAAGTATACGTAGTTTAAAACCAAAAACGTAGCATTATTTAAGATTTTTCAATAAAAATACAGTTCATTGCCTAACAAATACCATATAAACCGAAGCTTAAGATTTTATAGAACAGTTAAAGAAAAAAATTCACCAACATTTTTGAATTTTTTTAGTGTAATAATGTGCAAGTTTCAAGTAGCTAAAAATTACCGATGATTTTTTATATTTTTTTTGCCGAAGGTGTGTGACGCTGCCTCTGAATCTCAAAATATGTAAATATTTTAAGGAACCTTAAAAGAGCACTTAAAAGGGGAAAATTATAAGTAAAATGGTACATGGGGTATCGAAAAATTAGGTACCTAGGCGGGTTGGGTAAATAAGCGGGGAGGTACTTAAGAGAGGGATTTTCATCAGATTACATTCAAAAATCCACATTGCCCAAAAATGTTGGTTACTTAAGCGGGGGGGTACTTAAGCGGGTTGCGCTGTATTTATTTTGATCAAATTCAGATCTGAGAAAATGCGCTCTGCAAGGATAGAGCTGTGCGACCAGCATAACAAGTTAAAAATAAAAGAAGATAGGTCGAATTATAAAAAGTTATTTAAAGCATTTTTTGACGTGCTTTTCCCCCTGCTTACTTCAACGCAATCTATTTTATTATCGAATTTCAAAAGTTGCCATTTTATGTATACAAATTTTCTCTTTGTCGCTTTTTACAAGTTAGGAAAATTGTTTTAAGCTGTTAAAAATGTCGAATTAGTGCTTTCTTTATATGGCAATGGATCAATACATGCAAGGCTTTTCAAAATTTCACTGTTAAAATAAAATCTCTTTTTTATTTGCAAACAAACTTGAATATAACATAGCTGAATATTTTTTTATTCTTAAAATTTGGATTTTACTGAAATGTGCTGTTGATATACGCCGACAAATCAGTTATGTGATTTTTCTTACATCTCTATTGGTTAAGAACTGATCAAAAATAGCTATGTGCTCGTAGTACTAGAAATACTCTGAAAAAACGGCTATACGCTTACTTGCTTATAACTGTTTTTGATCGCAGATGAGTGTGCTTGGATTTCGATGAAAAAATAATTATAAACCAACTAAATATATACATACATATGTATGTACATACCACTTACACTACATAGATTCTACTATTTAATTTGATCGCTTGCAATTGGAATCCGACAATTAACAAAGGTAAAAAGTGTGGAGGTAGACAGCGTGCACTCTACATTAGAAAATGTATTCAATCCACCGATGTATTCACCACTACACTACATAAGTCGTATGCGACATGCGAGGCCATCACGTCCTTATATTGTTAATTATTTAGAGTATATATATGAACATAATTCTTGTATATACGAGCTTTCATTGGATATCACCCATCGAAACTTTGAAAAAGTGCATTGGGTCAAGTTAATATGCTGACCGAAAAAACAGTTCACATCTCTGGCAATTTAATGGTTTGTACAAAGTATATGTCCACTCATCACATTGCATTAATTTTTATTACAAAAATGCAATAAAAACGTTTTTGAGCATTTTTCATTACATAACACGAGCAACGGGCAGATTCCATGCAGGCTTTACGTGATGACCTGCCAAAAGGCTTTAATCACGGTGCCCGCATTTGTTACAACGGATTAATTTTTGCATTAATCACTGCCCTGAACTGCAAGCACTTCAGTACCAATTGGCAGTATGTGGTGGACACACTTACCACCTTGGTAGGGCCGAGGCCTACCTAAACCTCTGACGTTCCCTGGATCACGACATCCGGTTGCAATGCAACTCCACATTGAACCATTGCTGGTTCTACCCGCATTTAGGTATTAAACCACAGCCACCACGATACTCCCCAAAGGGGCCGTACCCATGAACAGACCGGAGTAATGGTCGCCGGCGAGATTTGCTCGACTGGCTCAACTCACGCTGACCCACTTAACTGACTCAGCCCACACTAGAACGACTTACACGACTACTACACTCCACATTCATACTCTGTCTTGCTCGTCTCACAAGTCTAATCGCCTCGCTCGTGGGCACCCTCCACATTCTCCAGGAGAGGTGACACCACTCGCTCAACTTTCAACCGATCGAGTTGCTCGACACACATGCACCATATTGCTCATCTCAAACATCCTACTCGCCTCGCTCGTGGGCACCCTCCACATTCTCCAGGAGAGGTGACACCACTCGCTCAACTTTCAACCGATCGAGTTGCTCGACACACATGCACCATATTGCTCATCTCAAACATCCTACTCGCCTCGCTCGTGGGCACCCTCCACATTCTCCAGGAGAGGTGACACCACTCGCTCAGCTTTCGCAAAGGATCGAAATGCTCAACTTGCGCACAACATTTTCCAGCGGTTTCCACCAGTTTCCACGTTTCCTCCGATTTCAACTTATTTTCACCTTTTCTAGTCGTGTAAGCCATGCCAGTGCTTTCCTTGCCAGCCTTGCAAGCCTTGCTTGTGTCGCCAGTTTTGCTCGTCTCGCCGACGAACACACTCCGGGGGCATCTGTTCCCCGTGGCACCATTTTTAAAGTCTTTGGTATGACCCTCGAAAGCCGTAGACTTCTTCCAGTTGAGCCTCCACCGACTCAGGACTGGTAGCCTTTAACTGGGGTAGACGGGGTTGTCAAGCCAAAGCCCCCTGTCTTCCCTCCTGTTTTCTCAAACCGGACTTGGGACCGTCTAAGGCACAGTTGCGAGCAACGGGCCGTTAAATAATCGAGTCCTCAACTTCTATACATTGTATCTAGGCCTAGCGGCAGTATTATGTACAAATTGCATACGATTCCATACCGCCAAAAGCAAATTTAAATCGTGTATAAAAACAGCTATGTGCTTTAAAACGGCGCAAATGTTGATCACGTCGTAATTGGTAAAAAATTTGACTTTTTTTCCTAAATCAATAGCATATTTTTAATATAATTTTTTTTTAATGCGACACTTGCAAAATATTACCTATTGGCACCAGGAATCAATTTTTTTGCTAACCTGAAAAGTTATTAAAAAACACATAGCTGTTTTTGTTGGCGCAGCGACGATACACTGCCTTAATAGGTAAATGATTTTCTGGGCTACAAACGTCTATATCAGGTGGGTTACTTGGCATGCAGTTTAGTTTGACAAAAAAAGACAATATAAGTTTATAGTTACTTTCAAAATTTTTATATAACTTATGCAATCTGTATGATTCACTTTGAAATTCTATGTTCAATTTTTTCGGCAATAGCTCGCGCTTGGTTCACACCGTCATCGAAACAAGATACGAAAACTAATTGCAACGCGCTCCGCTGAGACAGTAAACGATCAACAGCTTACCTCAGCGAACGTTTGCACTCGAAAAATTTTATGATTTTTAACACAAACGTAGTTTTGATATTCAGCAGATTCATTCATCTTTTTAGCACTATGTGCGAAGAAATTTTTAACATCTCTGGCAAGTTTTTGGACTTCTACGGGAATTTTTTACACGATGAGAAAAGTATCATAATTTAAAAAGACGTGTCCCTCAAAAATTCATCGAAAAATGTATCACTTTTGTTTCACTTAGATCAAAACGGTCATACTGATTACAACGCTTTTATCAACTTAAGCTGTTGTATGTCCAGACACCTATTATAGCTATAATAGCTTTTCTTTGCAAAGCTCCTCTAAAAATGTCTAGACATTAACCTCGTCGGTAGGTATCATATCGAAGGCCATACGATAGACACGAGAGGTAGATGTGACCTTGCCGGAAGAAAAAATTGTAATTTATTTCAATTCAATTTACTTTCACTTTGTTTGAATATTGTTGTGTGACACATACGTATATCAGAACAGGTATTCACTCCAATTCAAAAAAATTGTAAGCCAAAATCATTCATTTGTTTTGTATATGGCTCATTCCACGGTGACGGGTGTGACGATTCAACACAAATTTTAAGGCTTAATTCTTAAACTGTAATACATAATTCTTTAAAACGAGTATTTTGCAATCAGTTTCCGAGATATACACAATGCCTAGAATAAAAATTTCAAAAACAATTTAATCCGAACGAGTTATCTGAATTTTAGTCACTGTGACAGGTGTGACGAGCACGTAAACCAAATTATCTACTCCTTATTTGCATCAGAGTTTTTCTGATAATTATGTCTTCTGCTTATGGTTTTAAATAGTTCGTTGTATAGTTAAATAAACATTCTCAACATTTACGCCAAAGTTGCTTACCGCTATTGGAAATTATAGATTATATGTTCCAAATTCTACTGTGACGGGTGTGACTTGACTTTGTGACGGGTGTGACAAGTTGAGCATGAATACATAAATACACATTATTAGACAACTAAGCTAACTTAATTTCTCAAAAAATCTGATTTTACGAACACATACAAGATTCTGCTACCTAAAGACGGGATAATCCTTGATCGGACTCTTCTTCTCCATTGTATGCCTTAGTAATTGTAAAGTACCTTATTTTTAAATAGTATGAGCCTATTAACTTTCAAACCGAGGCCGTTACCTGTAAAAACCGGTCTAGATACTTTTTTTGCCCTGACAAGCGAAGTAATGGTTTCTTTTTATCCGTGACAGCATAGCTTAAGTTTTCCATCGCTCGAGCAACTTATCTTTATGATTAGCTTTATCATCGCTGATCACAAACAGATGTATGACACATTTCATATTAGCAGATAAGTAACGGTAGCAGTCCTGGCCGAATTTATTGAAGTTTGTCAAACTTTAAATTGTGACGGGTGTGACATGTGACGGGCGTCACCAACATAGTCGGTTCTTTTTTCGAAAATAAAAGCATATAAATACTTAAAAGCAATTCGCACATATTTCCCTGTGTCATAGCGTTACTGTCGTCAGCTTTTTTACACTGTCCAAGATGTGCTTTCCTTCAAAAAATAACTATTTTGTGTATTTTGTGACGCTTCAGTATTTAATAAAATACAGTATATTTTGCTTTGCTGCCTCTATGCTTAAGTGCACATTTAAGATACCTACCCCAAAATACGCATCAGAGGCATTATTTTTAACATTTATAAGGAAACTGCTCCGATAGATGAATTTAGCATACCTGAACATTGGCGATACCTGCCTTAAAAATATGCGACTAGTATCAATTATCAAAGAAAGTATTACGTTTACCTGCACTGGCCCTACAATTACCTAATTTTAAAACTTTTTATTTATTTTGTTCATCTCGCAGACCAACATTATTACATACATAGGTAAAATACATACTTATTACTTCAAACTGTCGTAAGTATAAAATAGTTCGACAATTTTTGTGGTTTCTTTCGAAAATAATTGCATTTTTTAATTCCTTCATAGGGCACAAAATTCGCAATTCATTTCAGTTGACATGATAATCTATGAAAACGTTTTTTGGCGAGAATAAATAGAATTCCACGTTTCTATAGCAACGTGCAACAAAACACTGAAAATATTTGACGAAAAACGTTACACGCTACTCCGGCCGCCTTTGTCAAAAGTAGTACAAGTAATTTTTAAGCAAGAAAAAGAACCGACTTCAATTCACATTTAAAAATTTAGGAGTACCCTTCATTTCTTCATGATCCAATAATCGGATCTAAACCCAATTTGTGCTGGACAACCCTTGAGGTGCCTCATAATTTCTTGGTTGTGATGTCATGGCGTATGAGTTACCTATTAACATGAATATAGCTGTATTTTTTTGTAAGCGAGCGACTCGGGTAAAATTTACGTTTAGCTACTTAAGCAACCCTGCTGGTAGCTGGCAAGAAACATGTGATTAGTTTAACAGGATTTAGAAACAAAAAACATTAGAAATTAGTTATTATGCGTAATATATATACTTATTTAAAATATAAATCATGTATATACGAAAACAAAAATTTCCCTCTCCAATTTCCCAGTAACAATTCACATTAGAGCAGTTTTTTCACTTAACAACACTACTCTTCAGGTCGCGTATTTTTTAACCGAACTGGCTGAACTCAGATAAATAGCCGAGTTTGTGTTGTTGCTTTGCGTTTATTTCGTCATTTAAGCGAGTGTTCTTTTGTAGCTCGGTTGCAAAAGAATGGACTTTATGTTATGAAGAGTGAAGTCGAATTTAAGGGGTAGAAATTGAGTTATTAGAACTTAGTAGGTTAAGAGGACATCTAGGGCAAAATGATCTGAGAAACATATACAGTACTCAAAACTAACTTTCCAACCACTTATCACACTTTCGAACGGAGTAAAAATAAAACAATTATGAATTAAACTTGATTTGGACTCACCAAGATTATGGGTGTTTTTAGGATTCGCCAAGGACGAAAACTTTTAGACCGTAAAATCCTTTTGAAGTAAGCTTAAAAATTTGCAAAGATTTTTCTATCGTATCAGTCTAGTATACATTATATTTGTACGTGTGCTCGAGCTATAGGTTAGGGTGACAGGTAATAAGATCAACGGAAATAAGGTCAATTGACTTTATTTCCCACCTTGGTGCGAAATAAAGTCAATTGACATTATTACCTTTTTAAAAACGAAATAAAATCAATTGACATTATTTCTCTTTCAAACATTAAATTTGCTTAGCTTCGCGGCGGGCCGCGTCAGCGCGCCACACCNTCTCCCTTCCAAGTAAAGAAGTTATCAAGGCTCGACTGAACAAAATTTGGGCTTTGGTAAATTACATGCAGTCTGCTGTTCATTGGCTCTTAGACTATATGCATATTAGCGCGGGTTAATTTCTATGAAAAATTTTTTCGACTAAGATCAGGATTCTATGTATAATTATGAGCAAATTTGCCGAAGAAACATGGGTCTAAAATCAATTTGGAGTATGACAAATTTCGAAAATAGGTTTCGTAGCATTTTGTTGTAGTGTCATAAAGAAAGCTTTAATTTTCTATAATACTACGTTCAAATTGGTTCCATTTAACTTGTTAAATGGAAAAGAGCTTTTTGGAAAACACAATCGTCCACATTGAACATTTGGAGTTAACTTTGATGGTTGTTTGATTACCAATGAAAATTCGAAAAAAATATTCAAAATCAAGTTTTTGTGTTTCAATTTGTTTTGTGCGAATGCCTGCTTCATGATATTAACGCATACGGATAACTTAGAGACTTCAAAATGTTTAGTTCGTATGCACTATTTATCTCTGCGTACGATGAGACCTCATGGGAAATAACTAATTACCGCCTGGGCCTCTTTTTAGGCGGGCAGAAATGCATACAATTTTGATATTTTTTGATAATTTTTAATTTTTAATAATTTTCTGAATATAAATATTTTGAACGTTGGCGTGTCAAACGGAAGCTTTTGGGTCTTTCTGATTGGCCGAAGCAGAAAGCTTTCTGATACAACTCTGCGCTGAACTGGTTTTCAAACGAGTTAAATNGTCGCGTCAGCGCGCCACACCGCTCGCGTCGCGCTCGCGCTCGTGCCCCGCGTACCCCGAGCGACCGGCGCGCACACCGCGTCACGCTACGCCGCGGGCCCCCCGGCCCCCCTCCCCGTCTCCCGACGTGCTGTAGCGCAGGTAGATTAATTTTTTGTATACGTTGAAATACANCTAACATGTTTAGCTCGTCAATTTGAACGTAGTATTACATGTTTAGCTCGTCAATTTGAACGTAGTATTACATGTTTAGCTCGTCAATTTGAACATAGTATAAAACATGATACGAGGGGTTTTTGGTATGAGGAAACCATTTCTGCAATTATACACTGAGAAAAAAATTCCTTGATGCTAGGAAAAAAGGATATTATTCTAAAGAAATATTACTTTGAAATAGCTCCAATGACATGGCTGCCCTATATTCACACTTTCTTTGAAACCTATCTTCGCAATTTAGCAAACTCGGCAAATTTGCTTACAATTACACTGTTATTTTATACCGCAATTCCGAGATTATGGAATACAAATAATGCAAAATTTATTAAAACTTCATTGATTTAGCATATTTAGAGCTTATTTTTGTAAGCTATCGGGCTTTTTATAACGCTTATTTCCATTTTTTTTTTGCATATTTTTGGAAGCCCTGTATATGACTTCAGACTAACTTTTTCCGTCATTATTAATTATATCTCAATGACATTTGGTAGGTTGGCTCTTTATCGAAGGTAAGTTGTTGTAGAAAGTGGGCGAAATCGGACGGTAACCAAAACAAAAACAACGGTGTTTCGCAATACTATCAGGATCCAAATTGTTGAAAATTGCCAGCTGAAGTAAAATTAAAATTAATAAAATAAGAATGTTATGAAATTTTTGGAAAATGAGCGTAACCTTACCTACTTATGATTAAATTCAGAATCTCCATAGTTGCTTCCCCAACCTCCATCAAACTTGGTAAGACATCTGTTATAAAAATTTTAAATCAGGCAATAACCACGCCTATCCCGCAATTACGGTAATTGACGAACCGCGAAATCTGCTAGATATTATTCACTAAAAATCGGTGTTTATAAAACAACACAGTGCGTGTAGTCCCTATGCGCGGGAGAAGTGAAACTTTCATCTATGTAAATGCCAGAAAGAAAGAAATGTACGATATACATACACATGTACTTATTTTCTAATATACAAAAAACATATTTATTTAAAATTTTTTTTAACGACCTATAATTTTTTATAACCAACTGCAAAGTTTAATTATTATATGTGCCTGAGAAAACATCAATATCTACAATATTAACTAGTAAATTGTTATAACTAAGGTAAGATACAGTGGGGGATTTACACATGTGCTTCCGGTGGCAGATTCCAGAAGGAGACGCAAAATTCCGGATTTTTTTTTTTTAAATACAATATAAATATTCTCCAGAGAATGTGTTAGATTATATACAATAAAATAGATTGATTACCGACTGATTACACTGGACCACAAATTTCAACTTTTTCTCTTTACCAGAGACGCCGGTATGAAATTCTTATGTAAAATCACCCCCTGATTCCGAAAATCAAGGTTATTTTTAATTCTATGGTACCGCTTTTGAGATATTTGCAATTTACCGTTTTTGCAAAAAAAAAAATCTGGGTCCACTTTATCATATATATCTCAAGAACGAATTAAGCAATTCCAAAACGGTTTGAAGCTTTTAAAAGGTAATAAAATTTTCTATAAGCTGTGCATACAACACTTTTTGCTAGGCCCTGTAGATTCAAAGATAACGAACAATCATTACCGATTTTTTCAATTTTTTTTGTANATTGAGTGTTTATTATTAAATACCCTGATAAAACATGTGTGCAGTGTACACTTAATTTATGTTAAATTTATGCGAAGCTTGAAGCATGAATTTAACATAAAATTCATTTACAGCTGTGTCCGCGATTTAGTATAAAGTCAATAAACAATTTCAATAAATGATTTAGTATAAGGTCAATAAACAATTTCTAGTATACAAAATTTTGTTGAAAATTAAGAAAAAATAAAATATGGGAAGACGGGTATCGAACCCGGCACCTTCAGGTGAAATAATAATAATAATAGATTGGCGCTTACACATATGTTAGTGTTTGGCCGAGCTTCTCCTCCAATTTGTGGCGTGCGCCTTGATGTTGTCGCACAAAGTGGAGGGACTTACAGTTTTACGCTGACTCCGAACGGCGATTGTATTTTTATGAGAAGCTGTTTTTCATGGCAGAAATACANTTTTTTTTTTAAATACAATATAAATATTCTCCAGAGAATGTGTTAGATTATATACAATAAAATAGATTGATTACCGACTGATTACACTGGACCACAAATTTCAACTTTTTCTCTTTACCAGAGACGCCGGTATGAAATTCTTATGTAAAATCACCCCCTGATTCCGAAAATCAAGGNAATTTCTAGTATACAAAATTTTGTTGAAAATTAAGAAAAAATAAAATATGGGAAGACGGGTATCGAACCCGGCACCTTCAGGTGAAATAATAATAATAATAGATTGGCGCTTACACATATGTTAGTGTTTGGCCGAGCTTCTCCTCCAATTTGTGGCGTGCGCCTTGATGTTGTCGCACAAAGTGGAGGGACTTACAGTTTTACGCTGACTCCGAACGGCGATTGTATTTTTATGAGAAGCTGTTTTTCATGGCAGAAATGCACTCGGAGGCTTGCAATTGCCTGCCGAGGGACGACCGCTGTTAAGAAAAAACCTTTTTTCTATAATTTTCTTTTTGCGATGTTGCTTTGACCAGGCGTTGTGAAGTGGAAGCGCGCACTGCTTACCACTACATCACAGCGGCCGACAATGGTGAAATACCGCCGACATTACCACTCGACCACTGGAGCTCATGATGGATNTCTGGGTCCACTTTATCATATATATCTCAAGAACGAATTAAGCAATTCCAAAACGGTTTGAAGNAACATTACTCGCTGGTTGTAATTGAAAATTAACGAATTCTTTGTTTATTATCAAATCTATACTTGCATCGTGTGTAAAAATGATAACTAATCATTCGATCAGCAAATATTTAATCAAAATTTCCAATCATCTCGCGTTAGCAAAATGCACACAAATATTTAATAAACACAAATTCCCGATTTTCTGAGTGAATGTTTCATAAACATCTTTGGAAACTATTTGATATTCGTACAGAAACATGGTTTGGTTTTTGTTATTTCGAATCGTAATAAAGGACTGTAACTCAACTTCAAAATCTTCCAAAAAATTGAAGGAATGAATGAATATGATGTGTGTAACATAATTCGTCAATAAATATTTCGAAATACATGAAGATTTTTCATATATTAGTATTATAATTACACACGCACACCAGTCTAAGAAATAAGGGCGGCATTTTTCTTGGTGCACAGGGCGGAATTTGGTGTAAATCCGCCACTGGTAAGATAAGAAATGTTTTATTTCAATATTATTAATATTTCTGGAAGAAACCGCATAATGATAGCCGGTGTTAATGTTTGGTTATTGGATCATTTCTACCAATAACCATTTCCAGTGAAACTTTTTCTTTACTTCTTCATCGTCATCTTCATCTTCATCTTCATCTTCATCTTCATCTTTATCTTCATCTTCATCTTCATCTTCATCTTCATCTTCATCTTCATCTTCATCTTCATCTTCATCTTCATCTTCA